GTAAACCATATAGACTGTACCATCCTTACAATGCAATAAATATCGTAAAAATTAGATAGTGGGTAATTTAATATCATAATATTCTTGTTATGTCATATTGTAGTTTTGCATTACTACTTCATTATGTTTTATAATTACCTCTACTGATTTCTATACGTCTTGTGTCATTTTAGTTACCTCATTATGTGAGAGCTTATCACAGTGGTTGCGCGGTCTAAGGCATGAAATGGCATCACCGCTCGATTGCTGGGCTCATGGGTTCGAATCCCGCTCAAGACATGGATGTTTGTCTGTGTTTATTCTGTGTTTGTGTGATCCTGTGTAGGTAGTGTCCTTGCTGCACGCTAATCCCCCGTCCAAGGAGGCGTAACAACTGTCTAAGATTAAGAAACTGAAGCGAAAGGAAGCATTTCACAGATGGCCTATGCTCCAATTGGGAGCAACAGGAATAGATAAGATTCGATTTGATAGATTAAATCAGGTAGATATATTAGATTAGATAGAATTATGTGAGATCAGTGTTTTCCCTTCCTTGTTGCATATACAGTTCTTTTACAGTAAAATAAAGACCAAAATATATTTGGAAACAGTGCCACAAAATGGATTAAAGTATTCAGGAAGGCCAGATATAGTGTACAGGCCAGTCTTGTATTAGTTTGTATAAGGCAATCAAGTTGTTAACGTCAATTCTATTTTTGACATTGAAGGCCTTCCTGCTTGAGCTGGCAGGGCACCAGGAGGGTGTGGGAGCAGTGCTCGAAGAAGGAGCCCGTATGCTTTCTGAAGGTGGCCTCTCCAGGGATGAAGAAGGTGAGGTGCGGGTACAGATGAGGCTCCTGAATTCTCGATGGGAAGATCTCCGTATTAAGGCCATGGAAAGGCAGTCTAGGTAATGCCCAGATGTAATGGGATATTTATATACTGTGTACTCTGCAACCATCCTATGCTGTCAGGAATTATGTTTAATCCATCTGAATATTGACCCAGAAGCTCCCATCTTCAGAATCCAAGACATTTTACTGTTTGAAAGAAGAGAGGATGATTAGTGAATTTGACAGAGTGTGGAAGGAACTCATACGGGGGAAATGAAAGCAGTATCTTAGTGTTTGCCTGAAGGGAGTGAGAAAACCTGAAGAAAACCTCGATCAGTTTAGCCAGTCTGCAACCTGGAATTTCAGGCCAGAGCCTCCTGAATGTAAAGCTGGAGTCCTAATCACTGGAATGTAATGTCTGTTAAGAAAGGATTGGGAAGGAAGTAATGAAGGTTCAATCTTAAGATTGTCCCAGATTTTGCTTTGAGAAACTGGGGTGAATTGTGATAAACCAAGACAGGATTGCTCACACTTCAATTGCAGTTTGAAAATTCCATCTCAAAAATACAGAGTAGTAGGTAGTAAATACAGTAAAGGTGAAAGGTGAAGGTATCCCTGTAACAGGCTATGGAGGCCCATAGGGTTGTGAGATGTCGAGGTTCTCACATTTTCTAGACAGTCTGCTCACAGATGGCAGTGAGGTTGTCAGCCTTATGTGCCGGCCTGACCACCCTTTACCTCCAGGAAGATTCTTGGTATGCATTTCTGTTAGAGGTTGACTTGACCTCAGGGCCACAGTGCTGCTGGAAGGATTAGTGAATTGAAAAATCGAATGATCTCATCAGGAATCAAACCCGTGACCTTCTGGCTTGTAGCATAGTGCCTCAACCAACTACGCTACAGCGTGGCCAGTAAATATAATAACAACTGAAATATAATACTCCTGCATCAGTAGTTTCAATCCAAGGATTACATTCAAGGCCAAATGTTATAGTTATACAAAGTGCGGCAGAAAGAAGTGGATGGATTTCAACCGACGATTATGCCATGACGGGGGGAGCTCGACCATTGGGTTGGCGGGAGAATGCAGTTTCAGTTGGTAACATGGAGTGGTTGGGTGCACAGCGTGCGTTCATCATAGAGATGTTTTTGAAAAATAGAGTCTGTGATTGCCAACAACGAGCCTTCCGCACTCATTTCGAGCTCGGACGTCTCAACAGGATCCCTACTTGGAACACAATTTTGGGCAGTAACCAATCCTAAAGAACTGTGCCAGAGACCTCTTCGCATTGAGAGAGTAACGTGCTGTAGCAGAATTTGGTGTTTGGGGGCCCTACTTTTTTGAGAAGGACGGCCGTGCAGTAACCGTTACAAGTGCTTGTTACGTTGCAAGGCTGAACGAGCTTGCTGTTGATGCTGAGGACATCAACAAGATGGGGCCACTGCTCACACTGCGCGACTAACAATGGATCTCCTGAGAGGGCTCTTTCTGGGGCACATCATCTCGCATCGCGGTGACATTCCTTGGCCCACACATTCGCCAGATCTTGTGCCCTGAAAATTCTTTATTTGGGGCCATTTGAAGGCGGAAGTTTATAAACATGAATCACATACACTGGATGAGCTTAAGGTAGCGATTCAAGAAGAAATCGCGGCGATTCCACCAGATAGGACCGTGAGAGTGATGAGTAACTTCAGAAAACGTTTCGACATCTGTAGCGGAAGCCAGGGACATCATATGGATGATATTGTAATTCACAAATAAACTGCATGTATTGGCGAATCTGATGGTAACAATGAAACTTCGATTTGATGAAGCCTTACCAATTGTTTTGCCCTGTGAAATCCGTCCATTCTTTCTGATGCATCCTGTATAAGCTATTATAGATCTTACATTCTATAAGAATTAAATTGCTTTTAAATTGTTGTTGAAACAGGTCCACTTTCTTCTAACATTTTTAATAGTACCGTATTTACGCATGTATAGGCCGCACATTTTTTGCCAAGAATTCAAGAGGAAAACTGGGGTGCGGCTTATATTCGAAATCACACTTCATTTAAAAAAAATTATATTCATAATTAGTAATACAGGGTGTAATACTCCTGAAATAATAATCCAAGAAAATTATTTTTTCTATAATTTCTGTCTGAAAATTGTGCTGCGGCCTATACACGCACGCGGCCTATACATGCGTAAATACGGTATATTTGACTTTAAACTTGGTATCTCCTTATTACTGTCAAAATGTAATTCATAAAACTTCTATGGCATATGTCTTTGAATAAGTAGTAATGTAGTACGGTAGTAAAATCTGTTGGTCTGTGGGTGTGCTGGTGTGACCACCCAATCCAGTTCTTTTTAACTCTGGCCCAGTCTTTGCTGTAATGTCATAGTGCTTGGTTTTATGTTATTATGTTTGTATATTTTGCAGGATTCATGAAACTCTTATGGACCTTCAGCAGAAACAGTTAGACCAATTGCGGCATTGGTTGACAGCCACTGAAGACAGGATATCTCACATGGCAGAGACAGGACCTGATTATGAAGCACTTAAGCAGCAGATAGAACAACACACACAACTGCAGCAAGACTTAGAGCAGCAGCAGCGAGTCGTAGATGCCCTTTCAAACATGGTTGTGGTTGTAGATGAAAGCAGTCCAGAAAGTGGTATGTCTGTTGGGTACAGAAACAAATATTGTAAATGCATGAAAGTATTCATTCCTCTATTTATTGCTGTTTTAATGGTGTGAAAGAGTTAATATAAAGTTTGTTCAAATGAAACCTGTTTGTGGCACTACTGGCAAATATGGCTGGGTACATAACACATCAGCTGCAAGCTATATAACAGAAAGTGTACAGTAGAGTGAATGAGGGCAGTGTGACATGGCTAAATGCCAGTGTTTCCAGTGAAAAATTGTACAAACAGGATCAGTGAGCTACCATTCAGAACCCCGACATCACCATCAGTGTACAGTGCTTCTGTCATACCCTCTGAGACGTTTTTGCCACCATCAAGAGAAAGCACTTTGATATATTCATGAAGTATGTCATGCCACATGACATTTGTTCTACACTGCACTGCATGCACTGGAAAGTGCTGAACCGTCCTTCGTATAGCCCTGACCTGTTACTTTGTGACTTCCATGTGTTTAGCCCCATATAAAAATGCTAGATGGGTATACATTTTGGTCATTTGAAGATGTCAAGGCTGCAGTTATGCAGCTGTTGTAGGAGCTCTTTATAGAGTAGTGCTCAGGGCAAGCAGCTGTATGCAGATGAGCATTGTCATGAGGAACACTACACCAGATGTCAGCATTCCACGTCCTTTGTTTTGAATGGCCTCTTACTTACTTATGGAGCTGAGCCCTTCTTGAGGAGAAGCCAAATTTGCAGCTACTCAAGAATTTCCCAGCATTTTATGAAACCTGAAGGTTCATTATCTTGTTCACGAGAGCCCTGCATTGGTCCCTATCCTGACCCAGATCAATCCAATCCATACTATCCCATTCTGTCTCTCTAAGATCCATTTTAATACTGTCCACCCACCTATGCCTTGGTCTTCCCAATGGTCTCTTTCCTTCTGGCTTTCCCAGCAATATCCTATATGCACTCCTCTTCTCCCGAATTTGTGCTACATGCCCTGCCCGCCTCATCCTCCTTGACTTGATCATTCCATATCATATTTGGAGAAGAGTACAAGTTATGAAACTCCTCATTATGCAGTTTTCTCCAACCTCCTGTCACTTCATCCCTCTTCGATACAAATATTTTCCTTAACACCCTGTTCTCAAACACCCTCAGTGTACGTATGTTCCTCCCTTAATGTCAGAGACCAAGTTTCACACCATACAGAACCACAGGCAAAATTATAGTTTTGTATATTCTAATTTTTATGTTTTTGGACAGCAGACGAGAAGACAAAAGATTCTGGACTTAATGGTAGCAAGCATTGCCAGAGTTCAATCTCCTTGTAATTTCCTCCTCAATCAGGTTTTGATTTGATTTCGTCATTCCCAAATATCTGAACTGTACCACATTTTCAAAACATCTGTTTTCTATCGTTATATCATGATTTTGCCTTGCATTTTGGTGACAAGACAGCAACATATACTTAGTTTTGAATGGCTTCTATGCAGTTTTTTTAGTGTTTTGCAATACAAAATGTGGCTCTGCTAACAGGTGGCGGACTTCTTTGACAGAGGCATACGAAAACTTATTCCCTCACATGACAAGGGCCTCAATTCTGACAGCGATTGCATTGAGAAGTGGCTTAAGTATGCATTTATTTTTTTGTATATAAACATTTTTTTACTCATTGCCTGTTTTATTAGCAACTCACTGGAAGTTTCCTTCCAAATAGGTATCATGTTTATTGAGATGGAAATTACATTACTATGGAATGTGACAGCATATAGTTTAGTAGACTGATACCAACATCTAGGAGGAATGTGCTGCCTCTGTCCTCAGGGTAGAACAGCCTTGAGGATGAAGGCAACAGGCTGGTGTGAAACATTGGTACCCATCTACCAAAAAGTACATCATCATTGCAGAAGATTGTAATCTTAAGAACACTTGTTCAAACTGTGTACAGGAAGTCTTCTTTACTTGCAGCATATTCGCAAATGGAGGACCAGTTGACAGCTCTTGGTGAGCGATGGGCACATATCTGTCAGTGGACAGAGGGCAGGTGTAACAAACTTCAGAACCTTGCAGTAAAGTGGACTCAAGTAACAGATGAGTTCCAGGCAATACAGCAGTGGCTCAACAACAAGGAGACTCAACTGAAGTTGATGGAAGCCAATCCTCTGGTGGAGATTGGTGAAGTTCTTGACAGGATAAAGAGACTCCAGGTAAACGTCAGGCACCACACTCCTGCATCTTATTGAGAAAGATCATGAGCAAGTGTGGAAGAGCCTAGTTTGAATCATGGCTTGGAAATTGACTGTACTGACTCGTGACTTTTGTGGTTCTCCTTAGTTTCTCCAGGAGAATTCTGGGATAGTATCACAAATTAGGCGACAACCACTTCCTGTCACAGCCCTTCAAATCCCTCGTTAACTACTCAATCTGTCATTCAGTGCTGTATAGTCTCAACTTGTAATTTTATATATGATGGATGCGTTGACATATGCTTTTATACTAACAGTTTTTTTTTGTCAGGAATCAGATGAAGCTTTAGTAAAATTTTGTAGTTTTATGATATGGAAGGGTATATAACACTATTTGTTTCAAAAATTTTATCTGTGCTTCTCTGGTTTTATTTTGTCATATCAAAAATTTTTCTGTTAAGTAGGAGGTGTAAAGGAGCTAATGTTCTTTCAGTATAATCCTTCACTTCTTCGAAGAAAGTTAGGTTACAGTAATTTAACCTATATAGCAGGAAAATTGAGGTTTATAATGTTATCTATTTGAAAAAGAAATTTTGGCAGTGACTTATATTAGTCGTCTTGGTTGGATTTTTGTTCATCTTCATTCAGTGTGTTAATGTTGTTACAGGTCCTAAGGCTGGGAATGGATACACAGCAGAGACGAATTCTAGTCCTTCAGGAGTCAATACAGCAGCTAGTGTCTGGGTTTGATTCGCCTGACAGCAGCAATATGCTCGAGAAAGTAGAAATGCTTCAGGATCGGTGGGATGCACTCATTCAGATAATTGAAGTTCAAGGTCAAAGGGTAAGAATTATATTTAAGTTATTATGTTAAGAGCTGAATTATTTATTTTTTTCATCCATGTGTTGTCATGTGAAGTGAAGGTTCAAGATAAGATTGTAATAATTATACTTACATTATTACAATGATCAATTTTTGAGACATTATCTATCCTAATATTTGTTTGAAACAGAATTTGGAGACTGAACTCTATCTCACTCCGTTTGACATAATCGATAGAACTAGTCCTTGTCTCTGAACTGTGAGACAGGGGTGATGGGTTATGTCCAGAAAATAGATCTTTGTCTTAATATGCTGTCATCTTATTTAAGTTATGTTAAGAACTGTCTTATGCATGTTTTGCTGTGATATATTAGTATCATGTGAACTCTCCTCTTTTCATTCAGATATCAAATTCTGGTTTTGAATTCCACATGAGGCCAGCATCAGGAGAAGCAGCGACTGTCATGACACCGGGACAGCAGTGGGAAATGAATGAAACAGTTACAGCAGTCAGCAGTCAAACAGTGAGTTTCACTTGTTCTTTTAATTTGAGATATGGCTTTGATTGTCTTGACTAATGTTATGTACACATGTTTGAAAAATATTGGGGGGTGAAGGTGGTAAGTAGAGCTCTTAGTGTATAACATTAGAAAAAAGTGTCATTATTCTGGAGGTTCATATATGTTCTGCTGAAAGCCAGAATAGTGGAACCAGAAGAGGCTGATGTTCCTAGATAAGGGCTCAGGAAACATGTTCTCATGGTAATGGATATGTATGCAACAGTAGAGGAACTGTTGGAAGTGGTTCTTAGTCATGGGGTCCCTTGGAGCCTGAAACCAAGCATGACTTCTGGTGAGGGCCACCAACAGTTTACTAGACTGACAGATGATTGTGAGCTAGGAGTCAGTATTCATAGTTAGCTGTCAGCAGTGAGCAGAGGAATTTCCACTGTTAGAAACTGGTACCTATCCACAACTAGTGAAGACATAACAAACTACCTTGCTGTAGTGATTTGTAGAGTGTGTAGATTAGTGAGAGTGTCATAATTATTTGTAGTTATGAGTCACAAGCATTCACAAAATCCAGTTGTCAATGCAAACTACATGTCTTGTCCCCGACACATTGACAGCTGGTGTCAGAAGTGGGATTGGTTTGAATTGTTGGATTCTCAAAATGAACCTCTTATGGTATTTCATTAAGGGTAGCTTAGAGCATGTGAGGGGTTAATCAGCATCGCCGAAGGTAGCATGGGGATCATAATAAATGCCATTCAAGAAAAGACAGAGGGCAACGTGGACACTGTCATAGAAGCCTTCCAGAGGAGGATGGAGGCCATGATAAAGACTGGCCGGGAGCAAATGAGAGCTGAAATTAGGGCTGGCCAAACAGAGGTGAGAGCCAAAATGGAAGCTAGCCTTGTGAAGGTGGGAGCTGTGATAAAAGAGTGGCCAAGAAGAAAGGAAGGCCACATTGAGGGCCGGGTAGGAAAGGAAGGAGGTCTGATACACCCAATTCAGTCCAAAAAGGAAGAGACCATAAAAAATTGGGTGGAGGATGCCCTGGTATCTGTCTGCCAATGGACCCTGGATCTGTGTGAGGAATTGAGTGCAAAGATTGAAAAGACACATCTGACCTTACAAGCACTGATGACCCTCAATATGCAGACGAAAAGCCTCTATGAGGAATGCAGTACTGAGATAGTGGACACAAAGAACACAACCTCAGGACTCAAGGAACACAAGTCAGATACAAACAGTGAGGATTCTGGTGGAAGTTATGCTGCAGGGACTCAACAACATTAACAGAGATCACCGTCATCTTTTGCAAAGTGTTAATGTAAATTGCTCATTATCTTCGACCCTCAGTTTTACTTTGTTATTTGACATATGTGACAGCTGAATTTGAATTTCTGTTGCCAGGTTCATCACAGTGAATCAAAGAAGCGCCGTGTTGGAAGTACGGCTCGTCTGGAATTTGAGGCAGCTTTAACCCAGCTCAACTCCTGGATGGATCACATGGAAGAAGCTTTGTCTGCCAGAAGGACGGCAGCATTTGATGGGCTCGGTCTGGAGGAGCAGCTGGTGATGTACAAAGACATGGAGATAGATGTCCAGAACTACAAGGGAGAAGTGGACAGGGTGATAGCTTTGGGAAAGCATCTTATAGAGGAAATTAAAAGTGGCAAGTTGATATGCTTTCTCTATTTATTTGGTATTGTCTGTAAAAGTCATAATATAATAAGATGATAATTTTGGTGGATGAAATGGGAGTAATGTCAGAAGAAGGGGACATGGCCTGTTTCAAAGCGTTATTTAGCATTCATCTGCAATTTTGGAACTAATCTTTCATTCCCTTTTTTAAATGTAAAAGGTGCCTGTGAATGATTTTACATTATGGGCATTGGCATTCTATTGTGATATTACATGCACAGGAAGTGGTGGTTATCCAGAATAAGCTCAACTTCTTATAGTTCACATGATTGACTGGGGTTCTGGGATGCAGTACACCATTCATACACCTGTGTTTTTGTTAGGGAATCATGTATTCTAATACTTTCGTGAATATCGTTTGGTTCTGAGCTTTCTTTTACCAAAAATGTAATCACACATTTTTGGCTTACCACTTTTATTTCTTTTTTCCAGAAAATGAATCCAGTAAAGATGAAGAACATAAAATTAGTGAGGTAGAACATCGATGGAGTGGTCTTGCTGTATTGCTGAAACAGCGAAAGGATAGGCTTGATTTTCTGCAAGAAAAGAAACGCTTATACAATGAAATAAGCAGTTTGGAGTTGATTTTGGAGGGCTACCAGAAATGGCTGGAAGGAACAAAGTGTCCTTCACCTGGGCAAGTAAATGTGGCAGTGCAGCTGGAGCAATGTAGAGTGAAGATCAGTTCAGTGAAGTTGCATGAAGACAGCATCAGTGGGATAAGAGAACAAGCAGCAGAACTGTCATCAAATCAGGCAGCTGGAAGTGATGCTGAGAGCATTAATGCTGATGTGAATCAGTTCCTGGAGAGATGGGGACAGCTGATGCTTAGGTATGAGCTGGTGTTGAGTATAAGTTTTGGTTTATGAAGAATGAGTACATTTCTTCACAATTCCACTGACAGATGGCACTGTACCTGACACACAAATATCAGTTACTTAAGAAACATTGGACCTTCTTATTCCAAAGACTGAAATAACTCTTTACCTTATCAGAAACATACATTCAGAAGACACAAAAAGACATATTAAGGCATTAATAGTTCAGTCTCCTTAGATTATAAATTTTGTCAACATTGCATGTCAATGGATGTTAGTTACTAGAGTTTCAGAAGCCCACCTGTTGAAGGCTCCGAACAATATACAGTGGTTCTCAAATTTAATGCTCACTGATATAGGATTTTCCCTCATTCATTGTTTGTTTTTAGTGATTTCAAGCCAGTAATATCTGTGATAAATTACTTCCATTTAAGGTTAACCTCAGTTTAGTTTTCAAATCCAGTGCTCCACAAAGAATTCATAAATAAGGGTTTCAGTGTATTTTTAGAAACTTAACCCCCTGATTATGCTGTCTCTCACCATGTACCAGGCCTTTTTATCTTGTTTGAAGTTGATAAAGATTTTAAGACTTTACTCAGTCCGTTATAATACTGATTTTTAGTTTTTCAGTCTGTCCATGTTCAGTTTCATTCATCATAAATTGGTGATCTTGATGTTAAATTTCCTCCACTTTAGTTTCAGCACAGTTTAATGATGAAATCGGTGATCCCCTAGAGATATTAAATGGGGATTTTGCAATGTGAAGATTCCAAAATTTTCAGTGTCATCATTGCCGTAGACTATATTCTTTTATTTCACAACTGGACAATTGAGAATATAGTTTCAAATCAGCTTCACAGAATAACCAAACAGCACATGACAGATATCCTAAAACAAATGTAAGTGTACGTTTTTCCAAATAGGAACAGGTTATACATGCATACCCTATCTGACTGACAGCCATTTATGTGTAAATGTATATACACTCAGGGTAGGATTGCTTCAGAAGGAGAGCTTTATTGACACTATGTCAGGACCTCTGTGGAACATCACAAACAGCCTCATTTCTTCCAGTTGATATTCTGATAGCAATGTATATATACAGGGTGTCCCAGGAGGAATGGACCAAACTTCGGGAGGGTGTTCCTTATGTTAAAGTATGCCGATATAACCCAAAACACCTATGTCCAAAGTTGAACGGTTACGGAGATAATGGCCCAAGAAAAGTGTGGTCTTCTGACAGGTCCACGCACTGTACCTGTCAGCTGAGAGGCCTTATCTATATTTGTACTTGAGTGCGGTGATTCACCCTAGCCATACTTATGTAGTTGACTTATACCAGAACGAGCAGTCAGCCTCGTTACGTCAGCGCTTGCCATTCATGCGTCATGTATAGTGCTTGGAAACCCTAAGGACAATTGTGACATGGCGAGCGAGTATTTTGTACTTCAATTTTATGGCTTCATGTCACTCACAAGTTAGTTTTATGTTACNGATGTTACGTACATTATTAACATTACAGAATCCACATATTCCTGCCAGTTTTAATATGTATTTTGTAATCAACAAGTGTGCAACGCCGGTCAAAGTTTGACACTTCTCTGGCCATTATCTCCGTAACTGTTCAACTTTGGACATAGGTGTTTTGGGTTATATCAGCATACTTTAACATAAGGGACACCCTCCTGAAGTTTGGTCCATTCCTCCTGGGACACCCTGTATATAGTCACATGTCCAGGGTTCCGCTTTATATACACACACACACACACACACAGGCATATAATAAGCTTTTAAAAATCTAGCCATAACGAAAGCAGAAACCTATTGGATCTCCAGAATTTTTCTCTATGGCACTTTGTTAGCACTGTATGTGGCAGCCTTTGTATAAATGTAAAAAAGTAAAGGTATCTCTGTACCAGGCCATAAAGGCCCATAGGGTTGTGAGACGTTGAGGGTCCCACATTATCTAGACAGTCGGCTCAAAGATGGCGGTAAGGTTGTCAGCCTTACGTGCCGCCTGCTCTTTACTCCCCAGGAAAATTATTTAATTAATTCCTGGTACTCATTTCTGTCAGAGGCTGAGTCAACCCCAGGGCCTTAGTGCGGCTGGAAGGATTAAGTAAATGAGGAAAATCCAACGACCTCATTGGGATTTGAACCCACGACCTTCTGGCTTGTAGCATAGCGCCTCAACCAACTACACTACCATGTGCCCCCTTTGTATAAATGTAATTTGATTTATTATAGGTTGGCTGAAAAACAGACTGAGCTGAATAATGCAGTGGACAAGTCTCCTCCGCAGAAATATCTGGAAGCCATGGAAGCACTGATGAAATGGGTTCATAATGTGGAAGGAGTGTTGCTTTCAGAGCATGCAGTAGTGACAGACTCAGCTGTCATGGAAGACCAGCTGCAGAAGTTCAAAGTAAGTAAGCAAGTTACCCCATTAACAGTAGACATATATTTTGTATAGCTACAGGCTGTGGGCTGGATGACCGTCAGGTTGGAGTTTGAGTCCTGGTAGGGCCAAAAATTTTCCTTTCTCTAAGTAACCCAGACCAGCTCTGGGGTCCACCCAATCTCTTATCCAGTGGGTACCAGGGGCTCTCTCCCCAGGTGTAAAGAATTGGGTCATGAAGCTGACCACTCACCTGCAACTAGTGCTCAGGTCAAGAAAATATGGGTGTATATATCCACTCCCCCATACGCCTTCATGGCATAGTGCTTAGTTAGTTAAGCACAGGAACAACTTTACCTTTTAGCAAACTTTAATGCCCACCCATTTCACTTGCTGAATTATAGATGGCCAGAAATCCTGCTGTACATAGATAAATGTCAGTTTTACTTGTAATGCAAGTACTAGACCGCACCATAGTTCAAGCGATTAGTCGCTGGCTTCCCACTGCGGCGGCCCGGGTTCAATCCTGGGTCTGGTCAAGTGGGATTTGTGGTGGACAAAATGGTGCTGGGGCGGGCTTTCTCCGAGTACTTCGGTTTCCCCAGCCAAATTTTCATTCCACCAAATTCTCCATCATCATAATCACCTGGGGGCAGGTACAATAGGCCAATCAGTGGCCGCTGTGCCGAGTGAACCCAGTTGGGCTCCACCCCCCACTAAGCGAAGCGAAATGCAAGTACTAGAGTTGTCCCCTTACACTTGCTTTATACTGAGGGTGTGTAGTATGTAGCTTGTATTGATTGTTTAGGAGCTGCAAAAGACAATTGAGGAACAGCAAAACAGTTTTCATTATGTCAACACTACTGGTCAAGAGCTGATACACAGAGCAGGCTCAGAAGCAAAGAGCCAACGACTACTAGACGAACTACAAGATCTCAATGCCCGATGGAATGACATCCCAGTAATCCTTGATGAAAGACAAAAGAAATTGCAGAAAGGTAATTCTTTTTGTTTTTCCAGGTGGTTGATTCCCTTGTTGAATAATTTTATTTTTATTTGTATATGTGTATGAGAGTTGTAGGTTATCACATGTGTGAATATGTAATGAGGATTGACAGGGTGATTATGGATTTTGATGGATGTTGGATAAAATAATGATGGTATAGAATCTAAGTTTTGAGGTTTTCGTGGTGGTGATTATTGACATTGTGGGCTATTTGATTGTGACACCACCTAGTTTTGTTGGCACTTACTGATATTTTGGAGCCACATGACGCCTCCGTCTTCAGGGTTGAAATATGTAGGTTAAGGAATAGGCTTGTCCTAAGTAACCAAACCTATTTATGAACCCACACACTACAACCCTAAAGATGTTGCACCAGAATATCAGGTTTCAATCTGTCACACTTCAGAAGACCACAATTTTAAGAGTGTGATTTTAATCCATTAAAATAGAGTTCTTACATTATGTGCCAATTTCTTTAGTATTGTCATGATTTGCCGTGGCTGTAGATTGATGAATGGATTTATTAACCACTTATGCACACCACTTTGAGCTACACATAATTACAGTGCTATCGCTCCATGAATGAGTGAGCTTTTGTATTCAGAGGGTTACTGCACCTATCCTGAATTTGCCTGGTAGGACTAAGGAAGGTGAGAGATGTACACCTGCACTGTTCTAACCGGTAGCAAGCCATTCTGACAAGCTTAACATATATTTTTTCAGACATTGAATTGCTTCGCCAGTTTCGGGATGAGATGGAAGGCTTGAATTCATGGTTGCAAGAAGTAGAAGCTTTCTTACAAGCTGAGGAAGACTTGCCAGTTGGTGATGTGGAGACATTGGAGGCACAGCTGGAGCAGTCGAATGTAGGCAGATCTGGCATGTTTTGAAATTTTATTATTATCTCTTTTGAAGAATTTGGGATAAAAGGGAGGACAGAGTTTGTTAAGATTGTTAAGGTGGGGAATAGTTTTAAAATTTGTCTTAAAGAAATGGATTATTAAGCTGGAGGTGGATATTAATATTGCTACTAATGAAATATGAGGGGTACGTAGTAGTGTAATTGGTTAAGGCACTATGCTACAAACTGGGAGGTAGTGGGTTCAAGTCCTGATGAGGTCATTGGATTTTTTTCAATTGACCTAATCCGTCCCGCCACACTATGGCCCTGGAGTAGACTCAGCCTCTGACAGAAATGAGTACCAGGAATATTATTGGAATGTTCTTGGGGGTAAAGAGGATCCGGTGCATAAGGCTGACAACCTTGCCACCATCTGTGAGCCAATTGTCTAGAAAATGTGTTAACCTCAACGTCTCACAACCCTGTGGGCCTCCATGGCCTGATACAGGGATAGCTTTACTTTTTACTAAAAGTGAGCTCAAGGAAATCTGTTATTAAGTTGGAGGAAGAATATTAAAATTGGTTCTAAGGTAATGGATTGTTAAGATGGGCTATAATATAAAAATTGTTAAGATGAATAATATTATTAAAACTATTTTTTAATGTAATGGATTGTTAAAATGGAGACTAATAGGGTTTAGCAGCAATATGATCACTGTGAAGGATATTCTGTGGTCATAAGAATGTGGAAATTTGTTAACACCTGAAGGAATCTGAACTGCAGAAAGACGCATGGTAGCAGTTTCTTTCAGAATTGTTGACTTGTAACAGTGCCATCATAACTTACTGAGACAGATATAGAAGTGTTGTCACGACTTAACAAATTACAGTAAAGGAATTAGCATATACAAATTTTATGTAGGCTCTTCAAGATGATGTAGAAACACTTCAGCCCAATGTTGACAACATAGAGAGTACATCACAGAAACTGCTGAATAATGCTGACCCAAAATTTGCAGAAGAGCTACGATTACAAGTTGAAACATTAGTTGGAAAATGGAAGAAGGTAGTGGAAGGTGCAAAGGATCAAAACGTTCGGTTGAAGGATGCTTTAGAGAAAAGCAGGACGGTAAGATTTCCACAATTTTCATAATGCTTATGTTTTGCTTTTGTATGGTATATTTAATGACAATGTTAATAGCTTGAACTGTATTGTGCAAAATGCTGGATGATTAATGAGTTCAAAAACCTGTGGAAGTATTTGGTAATAGCCCAATTTGATGTACTGTCCTTGGAGTTTACCTGTAAGAACTGAGGGAAACAAGAATTTTAGGATTGCCAGTTTCTGAACTGATACTCTAGTACTGTATTTTGGTATCCTGTTGCATTAATATCTCACTCACTCACTCACTCACTCACTCACTCACTCACTCACTCACTCACTCACTCACTCACTCACTCACTCACTCACTCACTCACTCACTCACTCACTCACTCACTCACTCACTCACTCACTCACTCACTCACTCACTCACTCACTCACTCACTCACTCACTCACTCACTCACTCACTCACTCACTCACTCACTCACTCACTCACTCACTCACTCACTCACTCACTCACTCACTCACTCACTCACTCACTCACTCACTCACTCACTCACTCACTCACTCACTCACTCACTCACTCACTCACTCACTCACTCACTCACTCACTCACTCACTCACTTCCATCTATAATACAAACACAACTTTGTAATTTATATGTCACTTATAATCACATTTAAAATTCATAAAATGTCATTTGTTGCTCCATGTTTCATGAGGCCATCATCAGGCAACTGTTAATTGATTGAAATCACTAGACTGCATGAAGGTCTAGGAAAGCCATGCACAAAGGAACACAACATGAATGCTGCAACATGTAAATAACATGAGGAAAGTGCGAGTACATTTTCGAATATGACAACATGGAAATATATTGACGTGTGAGCCAATGCAGTGTAATGATTTTGATCATTTAACAGTTTCTTGATGATGGCTACTGGGCTCAAAACATGTAGCAACAAATTATATTTTATGAATTTTAAATGTAAATTACAAGTGACATTTAAAATAAAAAGTTGTGTTTGCATTTTAGGATTGCCTCTGTGGTCTAGTGGTCAGCGTTCCTGGCTACAGATCCAGAGGTCCGTGTTCTATCCCCGGTGCTACCAAATTTTTTTCTGAGAAGTAGTGGGTCTGGAATGGGGTCCACTCAGCCTTGTGAGGATAATTGAGGGGCTATTTCAAGGAAATAGCGGCTCTGGTCTAGAAAACCGAAATTAATGGCCATGGGGATTCGTTGCCCTGACCACGTGACGCCCTGTATCCGCAAAAGTTGGCACTAAACTTCACCGAGCGAGTGGTGTGATATTTTAGTCCTGTGTCTCTCCATACATAAAGCAAGAGTGCTGCCCCCATGATCATGATAAGAAGTTAATCAAAACACCACAAAGCCTGTTAAAGGTTCAACAGGAAATTGTTATGGTTGTCAACTTCATTATTAAATTTGGAGTGTAGACAGGCCCAGTCTTCCAGGTTGGAGGTCGGACACGAGGCTGATGACCTTGATGTGTAAAAAAATTACTGTTTTAGAATCCAAGGAAGTGAAAACCCGATGGTCTAATTCACGGCAGAATTGACGAGTCTGGTAGAATTTTTAAGGAAGGCCACGGCACAGAGGGGTTGTTTTGCCAATTATGACTATAAAAAAATGTGTACTCTACATCTATTAAGATCTATTAAGATACTCAACTTAGTAGAATAACATAATGCACAAAGTGCTGGTGCTGCCATTATAAGGTAGGCCATGAATGTTCTTGGGCAAAGGTTAACACTGCAATACCATCACCGTTGTTCCTTCTGTTACCGTTAATCGTTGCCATTTCTTACTCTTTATGTAAGTATTATCAGCTCTACCCACTAAAACCCATAATGGCAGAATAGTGAGTGTTAGGATTTTATAAATATGGATTACTTTACAGGTAATTGAAGGAGTGGAAGAGTTCACGTCCTGGTTATGCAAATTGGAGACAGAAGTACCATCCTCTGTCAGTGTCACTTCCTCAGCAGAACTCTTCCAGCTGAAGGGCAAATACCAAATACTGAAGGACAAAGTAGACAAGAGGACAGAGGGGTTTAGGAGTCTCAACGAAATGGGTCGGTATATGTGTATAACTTTACATTGAAGCAAAAGCAAAAATAAATTACTATGCTGTAAATTTGAAAGGAATTATTGGTATAATACTATGGTATGTTGATGACGGAAAGATCAAGTTTTTCTGTACAAATAGTCCAAAAATCATGTAATCCGACTTAACAATAATCCAGAATTACTCTTCTCGAGTGTACGCATGTCTTTAACCCTTTGACGTGGTCATTTAAATTCCGCGGCCGCGGCTCCTGCGGTAATATATTCAGCCGGCCATTTAAATTTTGCTCGAAAATTATTTATTCATCATTGTTCTTAAATTCTATGAGATAGGAACATGAAACTTTCACTAAAATGATCTTAAA